ACTATCGTCTGTACAGTATGTAAATTAGGTACCGTAAGTCTAATACAGTACTGTAATTTTATACATTTCTTGTGAAAGAAACATTTCTTATTCAACGGCCATAAAAATTATTTATATTAATGATGTCTCCAAAGTTCAAAGAAGTTTTCGCAGAAAAATAACATCAGAAATCGTGGCCGCAGTTTGCTGAGCTGTTCCGCGACGAAAACAAGCTTGAGCAATGGAGATGTCGAATGGTGCACACTCGGTAAGTAATCCTACAATTTTTTGTTTATAGCGTAGTTTATACGGATTATTTCCAAAAAAATATACGTATTTTGTTAATGTTGAGTCGGATTAGTCTACAATCAATTAATTTTATGGAAGAAAACCTTTCAAACAGCCGTAGTCCGTAAACTTCACACGTGTCAATACGTGAGCCAATCACAGCCCAAGGATTCCTACAACGCGAAATTCGTATAACGAGGAACGTATCTTCGCGTTATCGGGGGGTCTACTGTACAAGGATGCTTCGAAAAAGGAAATATGCAAGTAAATATTTGATATATACTGTAAAAAATTCAGCAAATTGGTTGTATAACTTTCCGGGGAAAAAATTTAAAATTGTAGTAGTGCCATGTGATTTGATATTTTATTTTAATATGTTTTATATTATTATTATAAAGGAGCAAACAGCATAATTTGAGGGCAGAGATGAGTTTTATAAAAAACTGTAAATGCTAATAACGAGTAGCATCTTCATTACATCCGAACTCATTCAAGATTCATTCACGCGACACCCTCTATCTCTTTAAAAAAAAAAAACCCGGCTGCAATTTTCATCATATTTTGATTTTTAAAAAGTTTTTCATATCTGTCTCCACGTTCATGTATCTAACTAGATAAAATTTTAAATTGAAATCACACGATTTCTGGTCCAAATCGGAAGTTTGTTTATATATATATATATATATGGAAAGCTTTAGGTTTGGTTTGTTTGTTTATGGCAACATAATACTTGGGCGCTCTGCCAAGGGAACCTCCCGCGAGGACTTTCTATGGGAAACTGGCCACTATTTAGGTGTTACAAACATGAAGGAAACCAGGAAACTCCACGTGGCCAGGCAAGAATCCACAACCAACTACTTTTGTTCAGTGGTTTTATCCACTCGGCCACTGGTAGGCTTTAAGATTCATCAGAGTTTATCGGAAAATAGTGATCAAGTTTAATAATCTTAATAAACTCAAGATCAACATCACTACTGATAAATTATATTTAAATTCTATTAATTAATTACATTAATCAGGAATTTTAATCACCTATCAAAGAACAAATAGTTGTAATTAATTATCGAGGATAAAGTGAATAAAAATGGCTGATTTTAACAAATTTATTTTAAAAGTTTCTTTGAAGATTCGTCAAGAGAAACATTACTAATTTCTAAAAAACACACCATTACTAAAAACTTATATAATGTCGCCTGCCAATGGTCAAGTGGTCACGGGTTCGTGCATCTCCAATGGGCTGGTTGCATGGTGTTTTCCGGATTATCTTCACTCTGAATAAGGATCGATTTCCCATAGAAAATCTCCCGGGGAGGCATTCTCATGATAGGTTGTTCATGTATTACCTTATCCCATAAATCTAATCTAAATTACTAAGATAACTGTGTAAAATCATATATTCCTATTCAATCTGAATTTCCTTTGATATGATACGAAATTTCGGCAATTTAATATTTTAATAACATTTTCTGTAGTATTTTACTTATTGACACAATTTCGTTTCGTACTACAACTTTATTCTTTAAGTATTACTCATGGAACAAAGTACATAACTGACCAAAATAAACAATGCATTGATAAATTATTACCATTATTGCCATCAGAGGACACAACATAAAAAGGAGTATTCTCAAAATAAACAATATTTTCGCAAGAATAAAAACTATTGAAGTCTTCTCCTTCAAATACAAATTCAAATTGTTTGTTTCTTCTAATGAAGATGGGAGGGGAAAACTCAATAATTCCTAAAGCATCCGCTGATGATTTAAATTTAATATCATCTTCAAGTTTTAGGATAAAGTTACCTTTTAACCTGCAACCCATCAATATCACTGAAGTGAGAAAGAACGGTTTGTCTTTAGATTTAAATACGCTTTGTACCCGTGAGAAAGGAATGCGATGAATTTCATAATTTTGGCAATAATTAACAAAAGTTATTTCATTAATATAAATATCACTTTCATTTTCAGGAAATCGGCTTCTCTTATCTCGTCTGGGGGAACCAAAAGGGAGAGGACTTCTTGATTTTTCATCTGTAATCCTTTGTAACAGTCGAGCTTTTTGCTCGTTTGTAAAAATAGGAGATTTCTCAGGCCCTTCCTGAAATTCCTTTATTGTCATACTCAAAAATCGTATTTTATCCAAAAACGGAAGAATCTTCGAATATACGTCAGCAGGAGTGACATCCTCTTTATCTTTAATTTCCGTTTCAGCCCAATATACCAGAGCATTAAAGAGCATTACTTCATTTTCGATATTCATTATATCCTGTGACAATATGAATTTTAAGGTAGAAGATGGTACTCCTCGAATTCTGTTCCCTTTCAATGCGTCATCGGCATTTTTCAAAATGAAATAAATTGTTTCTTGTATCAATTTTTCATTCTCCATTTCGATTGCGCTCTTGTAAATCTGCCAAACATTATCGAGATTAATATTATTCAGGATGAAGTTAGTGGATTTGTCATACAGATCTGGATATTCAAATTTTATGGATAAAGCCATTAATGCCAAAGCTTGTTTCGTATTTAAAATCTTGATTCGCTTCCCTTCTGCATGGCTAAAAAAAAAAAAAAATATATTAAAATAATTAAATAATTTTTATTTTACTTATTCTTGCTGTATTTAAATTTAAAACAGAATTAATAAAATGCTATATATCCTAATTTCAATATGCCCGTTCTCCATGGAAACTGATTTTTCTAGAATTCCTGAAATTACAACTACAAGATAAATGACTGAAAATTGTAGTGAGTTGAAATACAATTATGTTTCCTCATACATTAAGATTAAAGAATATGTATAGAGAAAGAATAATCTTAAACATTTTATTGATATAACTGGTCTGTGATAAGCTTATAGTTATAGGTATTTAGAATATTGCTACATAAAAAACATGGTAATATTTTTTATGTAGCAATTTTTACATCAAAATGCAGCCACTTTGGCGAAATTGGCGCTGTTGTCACTTTAATGTTATTACGTACGTTTTCTAACGAATTTCGGGAATTAATGAACAAAATTCAATAATTTTATTTCGATTGCAGATATGGAATGTGAGATTGATGGCTACACCAAAGATATGACACTATGTGCCCTCCATCCTAATGCTCTAAAACAAACTGCATTTAGTGCACAAAACACTTGACGGAGAATACAATTCACCCGCGTAGAGTTATCGCATGTATTGTGAAATTCTTTTTTTTTAACATATAAATTGGGAACATTGCCCTCCTAAACGAAATTATGGATCTCCATAGCCAAACCTCACAGCAGTTCAGATCTAGTTATCATGGCGGCCATGACATTTGAAATAATCGGATAATCACTCTCTGGTAGGAAAAATGTAGCGAGGCTTGCAAGTTTCAGCCTATATGTGTAGCTGCACCATCTTGCATAAAAATTGTGGTGTTCGATTTCTTTGATGCAGTGCTAATTAATGGAGTTTTGGAACATATCTCCGAATTCAGCGGATTAATTAAGAGAACATGTCACTGATCCAGATGCAGAGTTTTCTTCGGAAAACAAGGACCAATGATAAAGGATGCTGTGGAATCACATCACAATGTTACATTTGGCATATGCGATTAAATTTGCTGGTGAACGTGCGGATTTTTGTTAGACCAAATACGGCACTTGTGCATTCATATCATTCTGCCTATGAAAATTTACCTAACGCGCCTTAGAATCTTCCAAGGTCATGCATCATCAACCATCATTCAAGCTACGAATGTCATAACAAATCCGCCTGTCATTATCACCAGAAACCAATTCTTGACTGTGGGATATCTTGTATGAACAAAATACACGATTTTTCACAGAACTTTCTACACTATTTAAGACCGAGACTGCACTAACGTAAAAACCTTCTCCGTAAAAACTTTTAATCACGTGACCTATTTGCATTTGCGTCTGGATTGCGGTGGAGGTCCGGCTAGCGAACAGTACTATCGAAGTTATAAAGCGCGACAGTACTATCGAAGTTATAAAGCCAACGATTATATTCTACGAGTTTTTTCTGTAGTTTAATTACAAATGTAGTAAAAATAATATCTTTACTTTCATATATTAACTTTTATTATCGTATTATTAATAATTAAGATAATATACAGCACTTATAAGCTTAGCTTTTTTTATTATATACTCCTCTAAATTGAAGGATTTTCCTTGGCCGTCCATATCGCATGTTTTAGGCACCCATTATTATAATTGGGAAACTTCTTGTCGTAGATACACGAATACTTTCGGATGTTTTCGATAAATCTTTCCAGATCTATTCTAGAGTAGCCACGAGGGACGTACACAAAAGCTCGTTTTCCATCATTTTCGCACGGTGTCACAATGATCTAGATTTCACTGACTTCTGATTGGTGGATGGTACCATTTTACGGCCGTATTCGCGTCGAAAGTTGAACACTGCTCAATTCGCTTTCAGCTGGTTTTAGGACCTGCTAGGCGTAAAATATCATGGTCACGTGATTAAAAGTTTTTACCGCGAGGGGTTTTACATCCGTTTTTACGCCAGTGGAGTCTCGGCCTTAGCCATGTCTAATTGCCGTAATATTTTACATAATTACTATGAGAATTCTCCGTTTGGTGCTTCAAGTACAGCAACGTCTTTCGTTTTCAGGTGTCCCATAGGTGACCCTATCCTGGGTATCTAGTCTGGAGTAATGCGAGTAACAACACGAGAAGTGCCCACCGGTGGCCAAGCGGTCTTCGTACCTTGAACACTGGGAGTGCGGTCATGGGTTCGCGCCTCGCACGGACGGGCTGGCCACGTGGAGTTTTCCGGGTTTTCTTCACGTCTGTAACGCCTAAATAGGGGCAGTTTCCCTTAAAAAAGATCTCCCGGAAGGCATCCCTAGGCAGATCGCCCAAGTGTTGCGTTGTCATAACTTAGCAAACAACAACACGAGAATATCACATGGTTCTAACTCGTTCATTGGGATCATTCACTGGACGAGTTCGTGAAACGTGACACTCAAACATTACTCGAGACTAAGCACACTAGCGAAAGTTCTATTCCTTTCAAAACCTCAGATTATTTTCCAAGGTTCCCAAAAATCAGAGGACCTCTTCGTAAAGCTTTCAAGCACCTGAATTCCTCATGTTTCGTGCTGGCAATTACCTTTTCGTTGATAGAGTTTAAAAATAATACTTATCTTCTTTTTAGAATTCCACTATCTTATCTGGGTCGTGTGTCCTAACCTATAGCTTCTCGTGACGACATTTAACAGAAAATATTTTGCAAGCAATAATGAATGAGGCGGCTCCCGCCTACTATGAACAAGGTGTAAAAAAAGGACATGGTACATTATGCAAGAAGCTTCAAACTCTAAGATTCAACGTCAGATCAGTGCTCCCACAAGGTGATGCTGGGTGAATTCGGAGCTAACTTGGCATCGAAAACAAGAAATGGGGATTTGGTCAACATTCGACGAAGTTGTATGGGTCAATGGATAAATATTGTCCATTACTTTCATTTATATTTACGGAATAAGATAGAAGTCACAAATTTTCTGTTTTTGGGGGCCCTCTTGGGAATTAGAAAAAGGCAAACCAGGCAAAAAAGGGGAGGAGCTCGTGCCCCAAGTGCCCAAAGTATGGGCCCATGAATGCGTTTATAACGTAACGCAGGGGTGGCCAACCTTTTGCATACCATGCGCCAATTTTTTGATAGACGAGTTCACATGCGCAGTGGCGTACCGTGAGTGTTAGCAGCCCGGGGCGGAGAAAAATTTCGGCCACCCCTTATTTAGGTATTTCAATTTATAAGACGAAAATTCAGATTCGCCACAGAACAAGCAATGACGTCAGTGGTGTACATGAACACGAATGCATCGTGTAACGTACCAGCAAAAAAAAAAAAAAAAAAGTCAACAGGTCGATTGCACCGAATTGTGTAAGAAGTACACTTGCCTAGACACACTGTAAAAAATTAATTTCCTATGTAATATTCATAATTGCAATGAAGCCAAATCTGGCAATGTTGCTCGGAACCGACTGAAGCGCCACTTGTAGTCGTCCAATGCGCCAAGTTTGGCGCATGCGCCACGTTTTGGCCACCCCTGACGTAACGTAATGTATTCGCTATCTTAAGGTATGATAACAGTAAAATACGATAAAAATACTTTAAAGTTTATTTAATTTACAGTAAAAAGTTTAAATTACAAAAACTTAATTTAACAGGCAAACTATTGTAACTGTTAAGTAATAAATATAAAAGTTTTTAAAATATATATTAACAATTCATAATTTTGCGAATATATTTCTAAAAAAGTTCTCGGACCAATATTTATTAATAAAATAAAATAAATCCAAAGATTAATAATAAAAAGTGGCATGTACTGTAATCATTCAACACTACCGAAACACACAACACTACGTAATCGACAGTATTATTTTTTCTTCCCCTCTACACGCGTCCAAAAGTTACGCAACAATATCTTAATTAATACTTGCATTAACATGCACATATCCAGCCCAAAATTTCTCGATAACCTCCTCAATTGTACAAAGGAATAATACACAGCACTGGTGCCGAACATTATATTATTATTTACGTGTATAACGTACAAAGCGGGTGGCATAAACAGTACGATTTACTACACGCTTACTCGTTAGGAACAAAACAGGGTAACTTTATTACTCAAAATATCTTTTAAAATGGAGTTTTAATTTACTGACCTGATAAAAACTTGGAAATCTTTCTTGCTGATAGCCACGATTTCAATGGTTTTCGTTTCATCCAACTTCTCGTTAAGTACTTCACTCGAGTTTGTCAGAAGCGATTTTACAACTCGAACTTCTTTACTTTCATTTTCATTTAACAGTACGAAGGTGACGATATCATTTAATTGATCGATGCCGCCATTTTCAACGATATTTACACAACTTCTTTCTTCTGTTTTTCTATTTGAAGTCGAAACACTGCCAACCACAATTGGATTTTCTCTTTTTCCTGTGCTTTTCGTTCCTCTCTTCTTCTTCCCATTGCCTGAAATAATTTCAAAATATAATTTATATATTCGACTGCGGAAATTATATTCAACGTATTTACAGAAAATTTACCCATATTTCTCTCGGTTATACGAAAACAGAAATAAATAAACGATAACATGTACTGTACTTATGTAATTTGAAATCGAAACCGAAACTGTAACTTCGATAATAAATATCTTTTAATTGGTCAATAAATAATATAATGATTATTTAACTAATTTATTTATTATTTTATAAACAATTGGTTTATAAATTTATTAAAATTAATATAATCGGCGTGACATTAGTACATCATTGATCTTTCTGTAGTGACCTTCAATGTCTCCTAATAAGGCATTACAATAAACTGATTACGCTTTTTTTTATATGTATAAAAACAGAAAAGTAATTCAAAATTAGAATAAGTTATTGAATTATATTGAAAGTAAACTAAAAAATATAACCGTTTTATCTTTCAAAAATTTCGTCAATCTGCCAATCCCAGGATCGAAGCCGGGCGAGCAACTCTCAAAAAATTCTTCTTGAGCGGTTTGTCCCGGGTATATCAGGCCTCGTCCTTCGCCACAGACCAGCATAAAAGGCAGTTTTAGTGCCTAAAGGGCGCTAAAAGAGCCTTATAAATATAAAAGGTTCACCCAAAAATGTTATCATGATTTATCTGTTATCGAAAGTTGATCTACTGAAAATTCTGCGCCTATATTAATTTTGACAGTAAATGAAATATTTTTATTTTACCAAGATATTTTATAAGTAAGAATTTATTTCATTAAAAAGATAAGACATTAAAACTCTACAAATTACCCACTAAGTAACATTTCTTTCGCAATGAAATGTAATCATCTGCGTTGAATTACTAAAAAGTTTTAATACTTATAACAATAGAAATCAAATTATCTCATATTGTTCCTATTACAATTTAATACAGGCAATCTAGTTAATTACCATTAGACTGATAAACTTTTCCAGACAGATTCATTGAAATAACTTATTTTTACAAATGTAACAATTAATTATGTTAATAGGAAAATCATGTATTGTTTTAACAGTCTAACTTGCTTATCTAATAACAAAAACTTCACAATATTGTTTTAAATTTGAACTTCTTTTCACACTTTTAACCCACTGGGCACTAAAAGGGTCTTATCGTGGATGTGGCGGAGCCCACGTTGAGGATGGCGGTAAGTGGGGCTCAACATATCCCCGACAGAACAACTCCCGAAAAATTCCTGGAGTTTTTTGACCGCCATGTTTCGATCTTGAGACCACTCAGAGCAACTGATGGGCAGCCAGACACTATGGAACTGGACTCGACGTATTCGGGTCAACTCATTCCTGAAAATTTCTATGGAGATCCGAAGTCGAAACCTAACTCCAAACAGTAAGCCGAGGTCTTTATCATTCAGTCAGTATATATTAAAAAATTACAATATGGTCATTTTTTTAAATGGATCAGTCTAATCTTGAGCCAATCGCTTTTTAAAAATTTTAACTCATTCCGACTCTCGGAAAAGTTTTTTCACATGTCCATTATGAAATCAGGCGAGCGGATTTGAGAAACGAGTGAACACATCCAGGTCTAATCAGGGATTTAGGGGATGTGAAGGGTGCTGCTGCATTCGATTTCTAGCCGATTTTTCCGAGAAACGTCGGGTCCTTCAGGTAGTAAACAATTTTATAAAGTATATTGTTCTGTACCTGAGATCCCTTTAAAGATTTCTGGATCCGTTTTCGCATATTCAAGAAAATTTCTGAACTGGCCTGGACTCGACTGAAATTTAATATATGTGGCCTACATAAATGATTTTAGAATATCAGAAGAAAATATTATATTTTTACGCTTACGAAGCATCTAAATAAACAATAATTTATTGTTAATTGCTACATTGCAAGAGGCATCACGGAGGATCAATTGGCACGATCTGGAATTACGGATTCATAAAATCTATTCTTTCTTCTATCCGTATCTATGTAAATATCACGAACTCTTTGCTTACGAACCACTTTCTTTATACCCGCAACATCTGCACCACTGACCAGTGCAAATACTGCCCAAACAAAACAGACACAACCATAAACCGCCTCAACAAGTGTTCAAAATTCGACATCAGGGGAAGAATCCTCTCCAACAACAGCCTAACAAAAATTCATCTTCTCAATATCAGCGACTGCCTCCAATTAAACCCGAAAGACGTTTGCCTTCAATCCTTATCGACCTTTTGTAATGAATACAGAATTACCTACAACTAGTAAATCAATTTAACTTTTTCTCATCTCTCATTTTGTCTGCCATCCGTCAACAAACAGTTAACTCATCCACCCTTTTTTTTTCGACGTTGCTCATTCACAGTGTCCTAAACCACCAATGACTCCAACCCCCTTGTGCATTCTCCCACAATCCCTCGACATGTGTACTGATTTTACCAAACGTTTCTTCTAGACTTTTCAAGTTATTCAACTTGAGATCGCCATCTGTTTCTCAATCCAACTCCACTCGCCTGGAATGACAACTATACGGGGCCAAATAGCCAACGTAGCTAACGCCTAACTTCACCGCCAGAGGGCGGCAAGCAAGAAAGTGTAAATATCACGTGGGAGGTGTGCGATCATGTGTTCGTTTCCGATAAAATAGATCGAAAGCAAGGGAATTATAGAAAATATATTTATTTCGTTATTGCACAGGTGGATATGGATGACAAGGCGATACTTTTGGCATCTGAAAAAAATAATGTCTTTGTTCTTCCTCGACAGAAATATGTCAGGAGAAGAAAATTCGGTGCTATTCTTCTATGGTTTGTTTCCATTATATTTTTCTGTGTTCTGGCTTTCGTATTTTTCAACGGCTATAAGACTCGAGATATAAAAATAATCTTCTTGAAAGATGGTGGTTTTGGGAAATTATCGATCAGTAAATTGAAGGAAAGTGAAAATATATTTGTTTATAAAATTACTGATATATCAGATGATGATGATGGTGATGACAGTTCCTCGGGAAAGACGATAGAGCAAGCAAGTTGCACGATTGTGCCAGATAATGAAAAGTTTGATTGTTATCCTGATACACCAGTTACTGAAGATAAATGTGTTGCTAGAGGATGCTGTTGGAAAGTTGTACAGAATGGAGCTGCAAATGTCAATTTAACTTTTCCTCCCTTGAATGTGCCATATTGTTATTATCCTGCAAACTACACAGGTTATAATGTCACGTTTGTCAAAAATACTAAATGGGAGATAGAAGCGCGTCTTCGGAGGCTTATACCGTCTGGATTTCCAAATGATGTTGAAAATGTTTTGGTCAAAGTGTCAATGGAACATCATTCTCTTAGAATACAGGTATGTTTGTTTGGGTATTTCTACAGAAAACAGTTATGACTATATTGATGTAGAGAATAATTGAGAAAATTAATGACATAGAGCTATTATGAGCAGTTATGGCTCACAAAATCCTAATGTGCCTTTACTGCCTTGCACCACTATGCAACCATAAGTAAGCAAATATTTATGATGAAGAACATTCGACCAGTAAAACGATAGGAATAAACTTTGTATTACTAGTTTACATATCATTAGCATATATTCTTTTAGGGTAGATGTTCACCTAGGTAGCCCTAATGGCAGTATTGTGTTTAACAACTTAGCCCACACAACTGTGCCAGCTTTGATAGCCCACTTGACTGTTTGTGGAGTACTTGATGTTATATTGTTTTAGGGGTGGGTGGGGGCTTGCCCTCACTCGGGTGCTGTGGTGCGAGTGATAGTGAACACCGAGGTGCATGTCTACATGTGAAGCATGTAGGATAGTAGGTAGACTGATACGTGTTAAAAACTGATCTTTGGAGATGAATATCACGCAAAGAGTCTACAATTGTGGGGTGATGTAATTTATGTAAAAAATACAAAATAAAACATTGACTTCGCTAAAAAAAGTAGTGAAAATGACCAGCACACGAATAACAGAGGTCCTGCCGTTGGTCTACCCAGGTGAACATTTACCTATTTTAGTGTAAGGGTGGCAAACCTTGTCACACTAGAACCACATATTATCTATCAGAACTACATGAGAGTTGCATCCTCTATTGCAGAGGGATTCTTAACTAATTTTGTTCTGTGGACTTCTTTCCCTGTTAAGGTCACAGACACCATCTCAAAATAATGTTTTTAAATGCATAAAATAAAATTACAAAAGAAACCAGTTAAATTGAAATACATTTATTAAAATAGAAAACATATGATATAGTAATATATATACTTCTTTCTTAACACAATAATTAACAATTTCATACAATTAAGATAAGTTGATTTTTACTCTTCCAAGCTCAAGGAACCTTGAAGACTTTTTATGGGCATCTTAGGGGTCTGAATCCCTGGTTAAGAACTGCTGCTCTATTGGAATGATAGTTTTATATTATATGTAGTTAAAATACTATAACTATCACTGTTCTATCACTGTTCTGTAGTAAATGTCAGTTACTTTATTGGTACTTTATTATTGGGTATGTAAATATTTGGTTATGAAAACATTTTTTTTATTGCTTAGCCATACTTTGCACCAATTATTGGTTTTAGAGTCTTATTTTATCATTATCCCAGTGTGATAGGCAGATGTTAATTATATTAATGCATATAAATTGAAAAGATATAAGCTGCTTATAATAAAACAATTAATTTTATTATGCAATATATATTAGTTCTTTAACATATGGGAACTTCAAAATAAAGATTTGTTAAATGGGATTGATTATTATTTTGATGAAGTATTTGAATTATATTAAAGGAGATGAAAAATTTAGAAATTCATTGTTTTTGAAATGAAATCTAAAATTTATTTGTACTGTATTTATATTAATTTTTATATATTTTATATATTTCCAGATAATTGATCCTAGTAAGAAACGCTATGAAGTTCCATTGGAAAAGATATTCCAACGCAAACTGTTTCGTAGAGATGAATCACTGATAGATATGCTATATGATGTAGAGTTAAATAAAAATGGTGACTTGAAAGTGAAAAGAATAAAAACTAATGAAACTATGTAAATACACAGTATCTATCCATATATTTTCATTTTGTATATATGTTACAATCAATGATGTGAGTACAAGAAATCATCTGAATAGCTGGTCATCTACACACTGTGTTTAGTAATGACATGAATGGATGGAGCAGGGATGTTAGTCACTGCTCTAGTAGGTGGTATTGGCAATGCTTTAAAACAACAACAATGCCAGTGCTGCTTGGTTAATGGTATGAGCTGTCATGACAGTTGTTGCACTCAATGTAATGTATACGCTTTTCTCTCTTCTGCATATTTTTCCTTACAACTGAATGAAAAGTAGTTCAGGCTGTTTTGACAACTGTCAAATTAAGTAAGGACTACAACCTTATTTTGGATTTTATTTTAATAACAAACAGTACATTTTATTTATCACATAGGCTATACCTTCTTATCCAGGAGGTAGAAAAGTAATGTAGGTCCTACATTAAAGTTTATGATTATTTAGCCTGATTATTAATTCATTTTTAAGTGTTGGGATCCAGGCAGTTTCCAAAAAATAAATATGAATTGTATGATTCTGTTATAAAATTAATGTCCTTAATCATAGGTGTGTGCTGCTCTAGAACGAAATGAACCAAGAAAATCAATTTATTAGATTGTTATTCAACAATAAGCAATGATTAACTGCCATTTACATCAAAGCCTGAGCATTAACATACTTTCTTAAAAAGGTTATAATATTAGTGAAAGAGTTGAATGTTTAATGTGTGTGGACAATGATATGAACTTTGGTCAAACACATCATTGTTTTGTTACTTTGGTCATTCACTTAAATTCACTTAAATAGACATTCTTGTCATTTTATATTTTGCATCATTGACTGTAACATATACGAGGGCTGTTCAAAAAGTATCAGACCTTTGATCGGCAAAAATATATTTATTGATTTTGAGGTACAAAACCCTAATCTCCTTCAAAGTAGTCTCCTTGGTAGTGTATACACTTCTCCTAGCGTTCCTGCCATTGCTGGAAACACTGCTGGAACGCATCTTTTGGAATGGCCATCAGCTGGTCCGTCGCATTCCGCACAATGTTTTCTCTCGATTAAAATCGGGTTCCTCTTAGCGGCATTTTCAGTTTGGGAAATAGCCAAAGGTCACACGGAGCCATGTGGGGAGAGTACGGAGCATGACGAACCACAGGAGTGTTGTGTTTGGCGACGAAAGCCCGAAATAGATGCGTAGAATGGGCGGATGCGTTATCACGATGGAGCTGCAAAGTTTTGATCGACCACAGATCTGGTCGTTTGCGTCGCACAGCATCGGAAAGATGACGAAGGACCTCCTGGTAGTACTCCTTTGCAATGGTTTGGTCTTGTGGTGCGTACTCATGATACACCACCCCACGAGAGTCGAGAAAACTGTCAACATGACCTTGATATTGCTGCGGACCTGCCGCGCTTTTTTTTGGCCTCGAGGATTGTCCCCGAAATCCTGCTGAATCTTGCGAATGGTTTACGCTTGGGTATCGCCAAGGTTTTTGGCAAAATTTGATGTAATATCGCTGCTCACGTTGTTCAGTCATTTTCCAGCTTAGTGGAATCCGACGAGAGCGCACTACATGACCTCACTCATAGG